GCCCTCTCCCTCTCCCTCCTCCAGGTGCCCCTGCTGTCCCTGACCAGCGTCCTCATGCCTCGCGGTCAGAAGAGCAAGCTCCGGGCCCGGGAGAAACGTCACCAGTCCCGGGGGGAGACCCAGAGTCCCGAGGGTGACCAGGCCCAGGCCCAGGCCCAGGCCCAGGCCCAGGCTCCCTCGGCAGAGGAGGAGGAGTCTTCCTCTGCCCCCTCCTCCCCCCGTGATGAGCCTGAGGCTATTGCCCCCAGCCCCCCTGCTGCTGGCTCTCCCCAGGAGCACAGGAGGGCCCTGGCCTGTGGCTGTCACCATGTAAGGGTCCCCTGCCTCATGTCCAGGGAAAGGGTCAGGAGCCCCGAGGGGGCCAGTAGCAATGTCTCCCAGGTGACAGCCACCATGGATACCTATGGCAAGGATCCCCTCACCCGCAAGGCCAGCAAGCTGGTGCAGTTCCTGCTGGAGAAGTACAGATCGCAGGAGCCCGTCACCCAGGTCGCCTTGCTGAAGGTGGTCAACAAGAAGTACAAGCCGCACTTCGCCGAGATCCTCAGAAGAGCCTGTGATCGCATGGAGCTGGTGTTCGGGCTGGAGTTGAAGGAAGTCAACCGCAGCAACCCCACCTATATCCTGGTCAACAAGCTGGGGCTCTCCAGCGAAGAGGATCTGTCCGGTGGTGTGGGCATGCCCAAGACCGGCTTCCTGATGGCGCTGCTGGGTGTGATCTTCATGAAGGGCAACCGGGCCTCGGAGGAGGAGGTGTGGGAATTCCTCAATGTCTTGGGGGTGCATGCTGGCAGGAGGCACTTAATTTTTGGGGAGCCCCGCAAATTCATCACCCAAGATCTGGTGCAGGCCAAGTACCTGGAGTACCGCCAGGTGGCTGGCAGTGATCCCCCCACTTACGAGTTCCTGTGGGGGCCGCGGGCCCACGCGGAAACCACCAAAATGAAGGTTCTGAGCGTGCTGGCCAAGATCAGCCACACCACCCCGAGTGCCTTCCCCGGGCTGTACGAGGAGGCTCTGTGTGATGAGGTGGAGAGGGCATCACTGCGATGCCTGGCCAGGGCTCGCTCTGGTGGCCAGGCCCGCGTGCCCTCGGGGGCCAAGCCACCCAGCTCCCCCCACACCTAGGGAGCCTGGGCCAGCTTCTCCACCTCCTGTTTGAAAAGCCTGTCAGCCTCTTATTAGTGTGGTACTTATTTTATAGAATCCAAAATATGTTTAATAGTGTTAACTTAGCATTGAATATTTTAATATTTAGAATTTGATCTCTCGGTTGTTACTAGCAAAACATGTATCTTGTGTTTTCTTGTCCCATGAGTAACTCCTGAGGAATATAGTTAGTAGATAGATAGATAAATAGGTAGATGATAGGTATTAGGTTGATGAGAGATGATAGTTGCTATAGATATTTAGTTATTACGTTTTGCAACTATTTTTTTCCAAATATAAGTATGTGAGTCACTTGGATCTCATTTTTGCTGTTTAAAATGTTTGAAAGTTATTTTATTATTTGTTAAAACAAATTCAAAGTACTCAATATTTTGTTCTTGTTGTGAATGAGGTGACAATCCATTTGAACAGGCTTTTCATGGAGATGTGAGAGAATCCAACAATAAAATGCTTGAGCTAACATGTTCAATTGTTGTTTTGTCTTATTCCTTTAAATGGTTTTTTTAAAAAATAAATTGATGTGATTTCTTTAGCGTATTAAAATATTTGTTCTAAAAATAGCATAATCTCTGATATCAAGTGAGTTAAAAATGTCGTTCTGACGGGTGGTTGATATTTTCGACTATTACAGTAATGATCTGAAAATGGCAAAGTGTTAAAGTTTCACAATCCCCAGTGTACAAATGCTTTCTCATATAGTATATATATATCCTAACATTCCTATAACCTAGGGTGCAGCAGGCTCCTACTGCAGATCAATATTTCTCAAGCTTATTGCCTGCTAAATAACAGAATTGCTATGCCTATAGTTTAGATTTGTCTACAGCCTGTATTTTTCCAGTCCTCCCATCCTGTGCCTTTGTACCTTGTAATTCTCTTTCCCTTGCCCCTCACTGCATGAAAATGTATCACAGGGTATGAAAGAAACAACTCTATACACAAAGCAGTGGATTTGAATATTAGAGCCTGAGCAGTAAGAATACCAAAATAAATGAGAAGTATGCAGAAAGGAAAAAGAGAAGTCAGTGTAAATATGATCATGTACATATGCCAAGTCAGTTAACCTCAGAGGATGGGATCTCAATAATCCTCCTGAACAGCCTTTTGCCTGTGGAGAGTCGATGTCAGAGACCAAGTCAGGAAAGAAGGAAGAGATCCGTGTGTTCTTTTTTTCTGACCACACACCATCCTCCCTGGCACCCTGGCATATGCTACAGCTTCTTCACCTCACTTACTTCCGTGACCCAGTCTCTGCCACATTTGCAGTAGGGAAACTATTAGTTTTGGGTAGGGGTGGAACATTTCCTTGCAGGAACCTGCTAGTTCTAGAACAGTGGCTTCCCACAGAGCCCTCCCCCTGCTGTCCCTGAAACACTGAAACAATGACCGGTGGGACTTGGCCCACCTTCCGTTTTGAAGGTCTCAGGAAGGTGATGTTCTAGACCTCAGGTTTGTGGCCTCAGGTGTGGCGTTCCACAGTAACAGCCCTGAGCGGGACAATGGGGCTATTCCATACCACTGGTGGGGCTGCCTCAAGGCCCTGCACTGCAGTTCTCCCTGGCAGGCTCAGGGAGCGTGTGGCAGGCGCAGGTGGCCCCTGGCTTCAGCCTGGAGAGTCTCAAGAGTCTGCATTCTCAGATTGGCTGCATGGTGCAGTCCAGAGTGGAACCCCATTGACTTGAAGTTCTTGGAATAGTTGGTGAGACCCCATTCAGCAGAGGGAACTAGCAGAAGTCGCGGTAGTGGCACTGTGTGACAGCAAGGGCATGCTTTCCCGAAAGAAAGGGGCCACAGCACGCCTTGCCCCATGGCTGTGTCTGGGAGACAGGGCATGCGACGTGAGTCACGCTTCCCTCCAGGGCATCTCATGAAGTTGAGGGACATCAGCCAAAGGGGTGCCCTACCAAATCAGCAAAGGTAAGACTTCCGTGTTGTGCAAGAATGAAGGTGAGGGCCCTGAGAACTGAGGGGAACACCCTCTCCAGAGGGGTGTAGTGCACTGGCAGCCTTCCACTTCACTACTGTTAGCCTTGGGAGACCATAGGCAGTTAGGACCACGTGTGGCAAAGTTCACTTCTTCCAGGGCTTCTCAGGGAGTTGGGTGGTATGGTAGGAGGGGCCTGAGGAGAACACCAGCCCAGAGAAGAGGGCCACCACAAAGTCCCATCAAGTCTCAGGGATAGTCAGATACGCTCCCTCCTCATTACTGAGTGATGGTGTTGGTCTGACTCTGGGGGTTCTCTGATGGGCTGCCAGAACAGTCCACATCTTGACCATCTGAGAACTCAGGGGGCCACCAACCTCAGAACAGGGAGTGTTTCAACCAGTCTGGTAAGAACATGGACAACGGTTGTCAGATGTGGCTTGTGTTTCTTCCAAGGATATGAGGATCTCGGTCTGATGTGAAGTAGATTAGGTTAGCAGGAGGATTTCTAGGCTGTACCAGGAGTCAAGGTGGGCCACCCACCTTAGATCAGTGGAGGACCCACAGAATCCTCTTGATTTCCAGCCCTGGGAGGTCCCCAGCAGAGATAACAGAAAGAGGTACTGTCACTTCCCATTCAGGGAAGTCAGGGTCTTAGTCTGAGGGGAGTGTTCCTGGGTCAGCAACGGAGGAAACTTAGATGTCCCTATGAGTGAAATTTAGGTCCCTAGCAAGCATCTGGAGGACAGGGAAGGGCCTGCATGCCCCAGGGCATGCCTGAAACACGAACCGTGGGTAGGTTTGCATGGCAAGACGGTGCTCCTGAGTGAGGAGCCCTCTTGCTATTGATTTTATAGTTGTGTTCAAGTATGATTGATTACATGGCAATGGCGGGAGAAGTGGCGTGCAGGACTTCAAAGGGATCAAAGGGTGATCAAAGGGTAATCAATTTTACAGGAACAGGGGAGGACATGTTGGCCATACGCACAGGGCACTATGTCTCTTGCAGGTACATGATACGGCTCTGGGCTAGTCCCAGTCCGTCTCGGGCCCTGACCACACAGTCAACGGTTACCTAGGTGTCCCGGCCACATTGTGATAATGGACACTGTCTCAGGGCGTTCTCGCTTACACACACACAGGTACGCAGAGGCCATGGCACACAGGTGCAGACACCCTAAGTGGAGGAAAGGCCCCAGCACAAGGCCTTAAGTTGAAACCACCCAACACGGGACCTGAAGCCGCATGCCATAGCTCTCTGGGGCCGCGGCCATATTAGATCACCCTCATTTGTTGCAAAGGAGTACCAGGAAGCTACAGTATGACTCTGAGAGATAGGCCACGGCTCTAGAGAGGAGCACCTGCCACATTTCATACCGGGGAAGCTGTGAGGACTGAAGAGTCACCCTACTCTCCCTACCCTGTCCCCACCCCCAAAGGGAATATCAAAGACTTTTTTCCAGCTCTTGAAAGCCCAGGGCAGGGTTGTCAAGTAGAGGAGCCTCCCATTCTTCCTAGCAGGCCTAGACAAGGTGTGATCCTTGGTCTGAAGCTGTAGCAACCATTCTACAGGAAGGAGGGTCCCAGGCTTGAGGCTGAGTCAAAGGTTCGGACTCTGAATAACAGGGGACCCAGAGAATCCGGAAGATAAAGGACTTCACATAGCAGAGTGGCAGAGGGGAGGAGACCCAGATGCTGCCAGGTGTTGACGTGGTGGTCCTCACTGCGAAGCCAGAAGAAGCCCCTACCCAGCACAGAGAGGTTCCATGGCCAGCACCTGCTGCTGTCCTGGTCAGTCACAGGCAGGGCTGGCAGGCTGCAGCTTCTGGGGACAAGCTGGCCAGCAGGATGAGGGCCCTGTGGAGTCCTAACGCAGTAGCCTCAAGGAAAACTGCAGAGGCAGCCTTGGGTAGAGCCAGGGGCACCTCCCTACTGGGGGTGCTCACGCCCTCTCAGTTTCTATCCTCGGGGTGGCCACATCACCCACTCTGCTGCCCACCCTTGTGCCTGCTGCCCATAACCGGTGTCCTCATGCCTTTCAGCAGAGAAGTAAGTGCTATGTCTTTGAGAAATGACACCAGGCCCAGGGGGAGCCCCAGGGTCCCGAGGGTGCTCATGCTACTGTAGTAGCAAAAGAGTCCCCGTTCTTCCCCTCTCCTGTTCCCGGGTTACTCCCCTGAACTCACCTGTTGCAGGCCAGGTCTCAGGTCCACTGAGAGCACTAGATAAGGCATTGGGAAGGCAGGGAATTTGGTACATGCCCTGCTGGAGAAGTGTAAAATGAAAGAGCCAGTTATGAAGCAGATGTGCTAAAGGTTGGCAAGAGAGAATACAAGGAGCATTTCGTTCAAGCTCTCCAGAGAGCAGCTGAGTAAGTGAAGTTGGTCTTTGTCCTTGATTGGAAGGAAGAAAATCCCAGTGATGCCTCCTAAGGCCCTGGAGGAAAACTGGATGTCAGCTTCGACGAGAGCTTGAACAGTGCAGAAAGTCACCCATGATGGGTCTCCTGATGCATTTTCTGGGTGTGATCTTCATGAAGGGCAACCACGCCACTCGTGAGGTCTGGGAATTCTGGGAAGCATTGGTGGTGGTGATGGCAGAAGGCACTTCATAATTAGTGAACCGTGAAGCTCAACACTCGCGATCTGGTGCCAGAAAGGTAGCTGCAGTGCCCCAGAAGCCAGCAGTGATCCTCCACACTACGAGCTCTTGAGTGGCCTGGGAGCCCATGCAGAAACCCATGAGGTGAAATTTCTGGAGTTTCTGGCTTGTCCCCTAAACTCAAACTCCTCTGACATTTGATCTCATGTCCTTAACTACAGAGGATGTTTCAGGCTCAGAGAAGCAGGCTAGGGTGATTCTACGCTCAACTCACTTGTTTCAATCTCTCTTCCCGTGCCTGATTCCAGTATACTGAACACCATTGTCATAATGTATGCTGTCGTTTTTCTGCTTTCTTAGTCATTTCAGGCAGGTGGCAAGATCTATTTTTTGTTTTTCCATCTCCTCCCAAAACATCAGTACTGTGATCCAA